GTGTGTGTGTGTGGTGGGGGGGGGTGAGAGAGAGAGAGAGAGAGGAAACGAAAAGCCACACATACACACACACACATATATATATATATATACATACATGTGTGTGTGAGAAGAGAATAAATAAATTGTAAATTTACTACTCCGCCTCTCCACTCCCCAAAAGGAATGTCCTCTTTTTTTTTGTTGCTTTTCTGCCGGCTGTCAACCCTCCCAAGTCTTGGCACAGAGGGTCAATCGAGTGAGCCACCTAGACGAAATAATATGTATATTCTAGGCAATTTCACGTGTTTCCTCCGCCCCGACGGCCTCTCCACGGGCATGCACGGCATCATTAAGCCACAGCTTAAGACGAACCGCGTCAGACTGATCAAGGTAGTACCTCGGCAAAAACTTAGTCTTCACAAAACCCAGGCTCAAGTAAAGTGAGAGTGCACGTTCATTTGTTAAAGGGGTTTCCAAATAAACCTCTTCACACCCCTTCTCTTTCATCAAGGTAATCGTCAGGGCCACCAAACGGCTTCCCAACCGAAATCCACGAAATTCTGGTACTACGGCAAACATCGCCACATAACCTCTCAGCGGGCGGCCAGGTCCTTTTCGAGTTACCCGCGAAACCACTGCCCCCACTCGCTCTCCCTTAGCGGACGAATCTGGGAATGTCTCACTTTCAATTCCATACGCAATCACCGTTAGGTCAGGCCATCCAAAGACAAAGTATTCGTACGTGAAGCTGCTATAAGGTTCTGTGAGCTCCTTTGTAAAGAGACGAACAACAAACTCCATTGCATCTTGGCTCCCATCGAATTGTTCATAACGAATGTATTTTTTGGTGCCACCTCCTGCCATTTCGTTTGATCCTCCTTTAAGGGCACAACGACATTGACGTATTGAGCATCCCGAATGGCCCTTTCCTGCAACATGCGTTGAGCATAAAGGGACATTCTCAACTGTTCCTCGTTAAAAGATATCCCATTTGGGGTTCCTTGTATCTTGCAAATGGCATCATTCACCTTCCTTTCACTAAGATCCAAGGCTTGCCTTTTTGTCATTCCCTTCTTTGAGGGTTGCTTCCGGTTTACCGTCAAATCGCCCTCAATTGCCTCGACTAAAGCATCAAGCCTTTTATCAGATAAATCGTAAACCCCCTTCGTCCCACTCTTCTTTGGCATTTTCCCCCCACTGGAGTAGTTAACACGGGTTAAAAACGGATTTTGCTCCTTTACTGTGCAAAAACCCAAGAAGGAAATCAATGAAACAACAACAACAAAAAAAAAAAGAATAATTCGGGGAAGAAAAAGAAGAAAACGCCGCATGTTAAATAATATTCCGCAAAAATAAATAAGTAACAATGATCACAAAAGTAGAGAATTGCCACCAGAAATCGTCCGGAACATATATATATATATATCCAACGAAATTGGTCAATATTACCCAAACGTAAAAGAAAAGCAAAAGAAACAAGACATGCATCCAATTTTCCTCCTCCCTTCGCTTCCGCTCTACTTGAGAGGGATGAAGCGAGACGAGTGCGTGGCGCCAACACCGGGACGGCCGTGCATGACGGGCTTGTACGTCATGGAGAACTCGCCAAGGTAGTGTCCAATCATCTCACCCTTAATCTCCACCGCGTTGAACTGACGGCCGTTGTAGATACCGACCACAGAGCCCACCATTTCGGGTGTGATGACGACATCGCGAAGGTGCGTCTTCACGGCTCTTGGCTTCTCGCCCGCCTTCACATCCTTCTTCGCCTCGCGCAGACGCTTCAGCAGCACGGGGGCACGAATGTTGGCGTGGCGGTTCATGTGACGACGGGCGCGGGCATGAACCAGGGTTTTGAACTCCTCCTCAGAGAGGGCCAACAGTGGGTC